ATAACTTTCACATTCTTATCACATTTTTATCAATTGTTTTATATATTTTTTTCTCATTTTCTTTATATGAATTATTTATTCATAAAAAAGTTCACATTTAGAAAAAAGAATAACATTTTTTACCTGTTTTTATTTTGTTCTAATTTTTTTTATTAAATGTTTGTGAAGATTTTAATTTTTTCGAGATTTAAAATTTACCTAAAGAACCTTGGTTTAGGTAGTAAATGGATAAGAAAGAAGTGAACATTTATGTCTATTGTCTCAGCAGATATCTAGATTATGAGCTCAATTTTGACAATATTCCACAAAGATATAGAAAAAAAGTTATTATTGAAGATTTAAGAAACAGAATCGATATACTTTTCATCTATATTGCACATTAGATATATTAAACAATCATGAACTTTATCTCTTAAAACGCGAACAAAAAATCTCCGAGAATTTATTGCACTAATTTTTTTTTTTTATATTTCATTTTAGTAAATATTGAAATATGAACTAATATTAGTTGTAGTACGGAACTTGAAGCCTTTTTCGTCTAGATTTTTTGTTTGTTCTTTGATATTCATCCAAAAGTCGTTAGATAAAAGAAACAAAAACTTAAAAACTTTGATCAAAGGAAAAATTCATAAATTTCGGTTATCTAAAATAACACGAAATTAATATTTTATATTAAATCCAAAAAAATAACCTTTTGAATCTAATAAAAGCGTATTAATCATTTTATTTTAATCTCTTTTAATTAAAAAAACATAAGAATTTCAATAAAAATCGAACCAATTTTATGATTCAAATTTCAATTTAAAATTCAAACAAATATAAACAATTTACAGTTTAACGTTGCATTTAAATTCAAACTACTTGTATTAGGGAAAATTTTAATTTTTTTTGGCTGCATTTTCCGCATCCATACAATTGACAGATTTCATACTTTTTATAAATTTCAAGTAAGAATTCAGAGATTCTACATATTTAAATCCAATTAGTTTTTTTTCATTAAAAGTGAATATTTTCTAGATTGAAAAATTCTCTACAGGATTTTTTTAATTATTTAGAAAAATTTTGAAATTCAATTTTTATATTATCTAATTTTCAAGAATGAATTGCACAAAAATGTCGAGAAAAATGAAATATTCAAAAAATAAAGTAAAATCAGTGTGAGTCGTCTATGATTAGCCATAGGTTCTAAATTATAAATTATTTATTCATTTAGTGTTTTTTTCAAAAGTTTGTGCCCATTTAGCCTTGATTTCATTTTTATTTCTTACAAATAGAACTTTTTAAGTTTTGCTTCGAGTAACTATGGGTAAAGAAGTATCATTAATAGCTTCTTTATCATGTCACATATTTAGCTATTTTTCTTAATAAATCACTTTTTATTATTTGTTTCCTTTAAAGTTGTCTTTCTTGAAGAATATAAAACTTATTTTCTAATGATTGTTTCAAATTTTTGTTCAAATATATCAATATGTTTATTTATTCTAAGAAATCATCTTTAAATATAAGTTTTTTTTCTTTCATTTAATTTTTTTCCAATTACTTTTGACACCGGAGAGTGCTTTATTATGGTTTTTTTTTACCCTTCTTACTATGAAATTAAATTAGTTTTACGTTCATTTTTTGTTTTTTCTTAGTACCCTACTATCCTCTTTTTTTCCCTTATAATATTTCTTCTTCTTCCTAAATATGATTTACTGCCTAATTTTCTTTTCATCTACACAATTATATTCATTAATAATATTCCTATTATCTTCAAATAAGTTATTCTTCTTTTAATTTCTTACAATTATTATACTGTAATGCACAATGTAAATTTTAAATTCTTCAAATTATTATTACCTTTATTTTTTCTACTTTGTTTACTTATTTAGTTCTACAGAAGAAAAACAATAGTTTTTGATCAAGGAATGGATAGGCGGGAATTAATAGCCGATAAATCTGAAATTTTTAAACAAATGTTTCAATCTTATCAGCATTAATTCCCGTTTATTTTTATCTTATTCAAGGAAAAATCAATTCAAAAAAGATTAAATCTTCAAATCAGAGTTCAGTATTTGGCTTAAAATGGAGATTTCATCGCTGTCAGTCTGATTTTTGATCGAGTTAAAACTTTTCTGATCAGGCAGTCTAACTTAAGTGAATTTTGTCCTTTGACTGATATAGGAGATTTTTCTCGAGATTCGTGTAAAACACATCATTTCTCTTTAATTATTACACAACATTGACCAAACTAGGATGAATCTTCGATTTATATGACTTGAGAATTTCTTTTTTGAATTTTTTCTTCCTTCAATTTAGAAAATGAGTTTCTTTAATTGCAAGAGCAAAATGAGCTTAGAATTCAAATTATTATTATTTTATGAGAGCTTTTTTATGCGAAAAAAAATCATTTATTTGATAATTTTATCTAGAGGCAGAACGTTTCCTCTTTAAATGATTTCACTTGTTCTGAAATCATAAAGAAAAATGTTAAACAAACTGTATTAAGCTGTAGAACTATCCAAAATGTTCTCGATTTTAATTTAATTTTATTTTTTTATCATTATTATTATTATTTTTGTTTTTTTGTATGTTGAATGATTGTCATCATTGATAATTATCTCCATTTTGTGTGTTTTTATTGAATTGTCTTGTTAGAGATCTTTTATCATTATTTCTCCTCATCATAATCATTCACTTTACTTATTTTGAGTGCTGAGCTTGATCTATAAATAAATTTTATGTTTTTTTCTCTTTACAAAGAAGCTTCTACTTTAAACCTCTTTACGCATTTGATTTTTTTTATTCGACCCGAAATTGATGGTAAATTGTAAAAATTTTCCTGTGAATTTTTTTTAGGAATGGTTTTGTCTAGCGTTATCCCTGCATCTTGCACAATTTGTTTTCTTAATTAGCTCGGATATGAAAAAGAAGTTGGGTCGAAGTAATTATGATGAAGTTTCACAAATATTGTAGATCAATATCTATTACTTAGTAATAGATCCATGTAAATGTATAAATTCCCAATTTGGCTCTCATTTCGTTATAATATTCCATTCAAGTCTTTATTATTTTTTTTTCTGAAAATATAATTATTAACGTGCTCCCATGTTTTCCATCAATTGATTGCATTAAAAGATCAAGGAATATATTTCTTCTTTATCCAGACAATTTGTGTCTTGGTATTTCCATTTGCATCCATGCAGCTAATATATAACTTCATGTAAGTCGAAAGGTTAAAAAATATGGTTCCGTTGAGATTCCCCTTTTTTCTCTCTATATATTTTTTGGTGTTTATCTATTCTATTATGTACTTTTATACGTTATATCGTGTAAGCACTATTAATAATGCTTTAGGGACATCTCAAATTGTGATATAAATTTTAATGCATTCACTCCTTTTTATTCATTTTATTTTTGCAACATGAGCTAACTTTCCATTATCTTTTCAGTTTTATTTCTTGGTTTTTTTTGTTTAAATATCGATTTTACTTAGCGCGCGTAATTAGTCTGCTGACGTCTTACTTTCAAAAATAATATATTCATTTTGGTTGATTATAAAATAGATCAAAAGGAATGCAATGAGAATAAATTAATAAACGCATTTTACTGTGTTTTTCACATTTTCAGAAAACTATTTTTCTAGTGAAACAAATTCTTTTTGTCGCGTATACGGTGAATTTTGGAAATGCTTGATTGATTGGATGCATTTTTGTGAACAAATTTGGGTGTTTAAGAAAGGCGGATTTTTTTTGGAAATATGAGAAAGTTTTTTGGAATTATTATACTTTTATTTTGTTGAAATGAATTGAATTTGTGAAGATTTAAGTCTGGATTTGGTTTTAAGTTTTTAAACCTTAGCTTTTACCTTGAATAACTTTAAAGAATCAATTTATTTGCTACAAAAGCCAACTTTAGCATTCAAATTCACACAAATTCAACACATTTCACTGACAATTTCCATCATCTTCATTTCTTTCATTTTTATCGACATTTATCCGAACAAAATTTGTTCAACTTGATCTATAAATTTGTAAACGTATTTTCCATGAATATTTGTTTTTTTAATTTTTATTTTATTTACTTGTTTATTCTTTCTTTATTTAACAAAACATAATACTTAATCAACACATTTTTTAAACACTTTTTTCTCATTTTCTTGTCAATTAAATATTACTAAGTTACGGATAAAAATTAATCATGAAATATAATAATATTAATTAAACAATGTTTTAACAATTAACATGATAAAATTAAAATAATAGAACCAATATTAATAAAAAGATGTCGAGCAGTTATTGAGATCTCTTGTGAGATTCACATAAAAGCATTCTCAATTTCCTGCTAGAAAATACAGAAAAAATTGCGACTTTTGATTTCATTTGTTTTATGTAAAATAAAAATTTCAAAAACTACTCTCTTAAATATTTTATATTGGTCCAAAAACTGCCATCAACTTCCTCTATTTCGACAAATTGGCAAATATTTTTTAAGTTTTTGAAATTTCATTTTTTACATAAAATAAATTCATCAAATCGCCTCAATTACTGTGAATTATTATTATTTTAAATCTATCATACATTTTTTATATCATAATATTCAAAATTTTATGTTTTTGCCTGTAGAGTGCATAGTTATAATCGAAAAATCAATGAAAACCAATCGCTTTGACATTATTAATTTTTTATGTGTAAAAAATCAGATCAGTTCGATATCCTGCCTATAAGTTTTTTTTTGTCACTTGTTGATATTTCTTCTTTTTTTCACTTAATCATAGTTTTATAATGTAAGTTATTGTATTATATATATAAAGATTCGAAGCTATAAGTTGATAAGAATGATGATTTGATCCCGATTGTATTTTAATATTATCATATATTGACAATATGCATATTTTATATGTATTATGTTCACTCATACTTCATTATATTTACTTGTTAAATAAATCTCTTTCTCCCATATTTTTTAATTCTGATTCTTGTTTTGTTTCTCAGCCATATCCACTGTTGATATTAAAATGTTTAGATATTTGATTTTGAAAAGCTGACACGTAAATGATTCGATTCAGATAGCTGATGGTTGTGCATTTTTATAAGAGCTTGGACAGCTTCTTCAATAGAGCCGAGTTGAAGCAATGCCATTTTGTGGTCTTTCCTGAAATTAATTGAAAGTTTTTAAGGGATTAATTTTAATTTATTTGTTAAGTTTCAACTTTTCTGTCATCTAGTTCTAGGTTTCATCAAATGCATTTAATTGATCTTTGTTTAAAAATGAAATTAGGAACAGATTGCAATTAAAAGAAATTACATTAATTTTAAAGTGTTTTTAAGTTAAGTCTAGATTTTAAAATGTCAAAATTGTCAGATATCGTTTGCAGTTCTTCAAACTTAATTTGTAACCTATCCAGACACCTAGACAACAGCTTTTGCCAAAGAACACTTTAAAGCTATAAAGCAAAAAAATTTCCTTACATTCAAAAATTGCAAATTTTCAAACAATTTTCCAAAAAAAAAAGTTTTCTTTCAAGTTCTTCAAATGCCTATCTAACTTCTAAAATCATCAAAAAAATTACTTACGGGAAAAATTTAAATGCTTTAACTTCAAAACCATTTTTTGAGAATGCTTCTTTGATTTCATCTTCAGTTACGGTAGCTCTGTAAAGAAAATAAATATGAATTTATAAAATTAAGTTTGTTAAGTTATTATTTTAGAAGAGAGAACAAATTTTACTTTAAAATTAAAATATCTTTGATTTTTCTTTTACCTGTTGAAATATACAGACAGAAATTGTCATAGTTTCAACTTTAAAAGTGATTTAAAAGTTTTTCTTTGCGTTTCAATAAAACTTTTTTTTGATATTTCTTCTTTCACGTTGTTGAGATCAAGTTGAGATAGGATACTTTTAATTTGAAATGGGGAAACATTTATTGAATTAAAGCAATGTCTTTTGAATATTTATGCCCAGAGAAATTATTTTAAGATGCATTTTTTAACATTTTGAGTGGTTTTTAGTGTTTGAAAATACAAAACACAACAAAGTTCATAAAAAAGAATAAAGAACAACTTTATATGAACTTATAATTCAAAAAGCTTGTAATCATCAGAATCTTCCACACATCTCTTAAAGTTCTATAATCTTTAAAGTAAATTACAACATAAAATCCATATTAATGCCTTTTATGACAAAAAGTTCCAAAAAAATTTCAACAATTTTGCCAAGAGCCTCTTTATTAATGCCATTAAGCATGTTAAATAAATAGTAAAAGAAAAATAAAAGTTGAGTGTTGCAATAAGAACTCAACAGATGCTTGATTCCCACCATTTCCATTCAATCTTCATTCATGTCTTTTTCCTATTAATTTTTAATGTACCTTTGAACTGTTTTGCTGTTAATATAATAATCTTCTAATTTATTACAACACTTTGTTCAATTTTTTTTTTGATTTTTCTTCTTCTGCTGATGAGTTTCGTGCAACGGCATTCGCTTAAATTCTTAACGTCAAAGCATTTTCGCATAAAGGTATTATGACAAAAAAAAAAAAAAAAAATTAAGTAAAAAAGGTCAAAAGAAAAATCATATTTTACGTCCCGGAAAAAGAAAAAATTAAAAAGAATGACATGCCATGATAGGTTCTATGAATAGACAAGGGGGTGTGGATGTAATAAAAAATGAAAAACATCAACGTGAAGAATATGAATCCTATAATTTTTCTCTCAGACATTGAGAACTACTAAATCATTAATTTTGTGGTTGAGTCAGCCTGTTGCATTTGATGTCTTTTAATACTGACCTATTTACAAAAATCTAATGACTCGGTACGTGACTTAATGCCTTAGATAAGAATCCTAGTTAAAATCATAAATTTCATGCAAAATTAAATTTTCATCAAATATTTCTAAAGACTCTTAACGCTAAGTGTCCTCGTTTGAATTCTCAGAACATTTGCATAAATATGAAAATATTATCCTATTTAAAAGAAATTCCACGAGAGTTAATTAATATCATCTTGTCGCCTAAATCATCTACAAAAAAAAATCATATTGTATTCTTCTTTCTGGCAATGAAACGAAGCGTTATGCCTTGTCACAATTTACAATGAGAAAAAAAGAAAAAAAATTCTAAATATTTTCTTCTCCGTATGTCATTTTTTGCTCACTCCCTATCTATCTCGCTCATTTCATTTCAGCATAGCATTCACGAAACAAAAAGAAGTAGAAAAATGTGTTTAAGAAATTTAATTTACGTTTAAAATAAATCACAGATGCGAGGCGGTGGCAGTTCATCTTCATAATACATTTAATTCCCTTGCCATTTTCTTCATCCATCTACTCTGTGGCCACCACCACATTGCTGATGTGAAAGGCAAAAGGAAAACCGTAAATGAGAGAACAATTTGTTTTTCTTTTACATTTTCTTCCATTATTTCATTTTAAATGGAAAACTTTTCTTTTTAAATAAGATGTGTCTTCTCTTTATGGTCATTAGCGGTTCATGACTGAGCAGAAATGTAAATGGGGAAGATAATGTGAAAAGAAGGAAAGGGAATGGATGTTCCAAATTTTAAGAGATGTAATGCAGCAATAAAAGATCTTTCGGAGAAATTTTTTGAGATAACAAATTAGTTAAGATTAAACTATCTTGAATTCTTTAGACAAAGATGCTTAAAGTTCACAATTTCTTCTATGGAAATTTGTCTGAATTCAAATGAATGTGGAATTGAAAATAAGTATTTCTTTAGAGAAATATTAATTATTGAGTTCGAGAAAATTCGAAGACACATTTCTAGGAAACCGTCAATTAAGTTTCGTCTTACTAATTTGAAATTTATTTAAAATTAATAAATTATATTTATTAAAAAATAGCATCAATATTTAAGCGGATTTGTCTATTTTTGGTTTGAACAACTTTGATTTTTACATTATTTTTCTTTTCGTTGGAATTTTTAATCTGTTTTTCTTGCTTTCAATCGAGTCTAGTAATTTGGAAAATCAATTTATGAATTTGAACAAAATTAATCAATTTAAATTTTGAGTCTTTGGCTTGCCGCCTCATTTTCACAAACAAAAATTCTCTTTGAAGTGACACAAAGCTTTAAAACTGCAGTTCTATTACTAATGGAGTTAAAATTCTGATTTTAAAATTAGAATAAATGCAAACAGCACAAGTCGGTTAATCGATCGAAAATCTGGAGCCAAGCCAGTATGGTTCTGGCATGATACTGAATTTAAATCGAAGCTAGAATCTTGCCAACGTCATGCAGATCCGGATTTCTATTCTATTAACCGACTTGTGGTATTCTGGAAAATTACAAAAGTGCCTTTTATTTCCTGAAATATTCTCAAATTAAACCTTACGAACGATGTCTATAAAATAAAAAAAAAAAAAAGCAAAGTATGTCTACCCCTATTAAATTAGGATTCCAAATAATTCTTTCCTACTTGGATGTTTACAAACGGATCAAAAAAAAAAACATTTCGAGTACCAAGAAGAGAGGTAACTTAGAAACTGATGCGAATTGTAAAATCTCTGATTAGATACACATTTTATCTCAGACAATCTTAAATTTCCTATACAAAATTATAGAATAAACATTCCTTTCATGGACTATCTAAAATAGAACAAAAAGTTCAAGGTTTAATCTTGAAAAATATCTCAATCGGTCACTTTTGATTACTTCAGTGATATTTTATATGATTTTGATATTTTTAATCATCAAAAATATTATTCAAAATTTTTTTATTAATGATTGGAAAAACACCAGAACTGGCAGCTGTCGACAATTTGTTATTTTTTCCGTGAAAACACAAAATTTGTCTTTTGAGGCAGTCTAGTAGAATTTTATAGCTACTAGAAATCATTAATAATCTTTTTATAATTTGCATTCAGACTTTTCGTCAAATTCGATAAATTTTCTAGCTAGCTTTTTTTCGAAAATTCTCTCAGGGCATTGCTACTTTTAATCTTTAATGAAAATGCACCTTAAAGCGGATTAAATAATTAAATGAAATTTGTTTTCTCTTCCTTACTCCACAAATATTTTCCGTGTTTATCGTTCCATAAACACAAACATGTAGATCGAAAAAAAATTCATTATTACATGTTCAATAGCCAATATCTGTGGTTTTTAATAATTTAATATTGCCTTAATATACTTACGGAATGTTACTTAAATGCAATGTTGCTGATGGAGGATAAATGTTCTGATAATTCTTACTACCGGGCTTTTTGAAACGATGCAATGGATTTTGTGAATAATCTCTTGTTAATCCAGCATCAGGTTGTCCTTCTTTTGGGAGTTGAACGGCTTGATGCTTACTTGCCATCACACGAATTTGCTTTCCCCAAATGCGCAACTTGTCTAAATGTGTCATTGCTGGAATTGAAAATTTATTTTGTCAGAATTTATTTTAAAAAGTTACGAAAACGAAAAGAAATCATGAAACTTTTGACAATTCTTTTAATTAGATCCAAGCAATTATGCAACTCATTTACAGAATCCCTCCATCCTCCAGCAAAAAAGATATAAAGAGGAAAATTAAAAACAAATTTTTTTTCTGGGTTGATGCGGCTATCAGAATATAAACCAGCAGAAAAGACTCAATGAAGTTTATATAAAAGAGAAAAAAGAGTTAAAGATGTCGAAAAATAAAAAAAGAAGGATTTTTTCACTAGAGGGGAATTAAAGCGATTGTTAATGATGTTGAATAAATGAAAAAAGCAGAAAAACATGGGAAAGCATTAGTTATTCATTAACTAGAATTTTCATGATTTTTTTTCTTCTCTCAATTGTCGGATAGAAAATATTCAGGAATCTTTTTTGAAATATTTTTAAAATTTCTTGTTCTTATTTTGTTTCATTTTTGAGCATGTTTAATAGAAGATAAATTATACAAAATTAATTTCTTCAAGACAAAAAAAGCCCATTAGCAGGACGAAGATATAATTTACGGTGATTAAAAAAGAGTTTAAAGTTTAAAATCATTTTAATTAAAGTAAAATTCACCAAAAATTCCGTTTGTCGAATGAAATTTCACAAAATGCTTTGAAAGCGTCCACAACATTCTGAATTAAAACCAAATTTTGCAGTATGCACTTACCCAAATATGCTTGATGCGGTTCAGCCATTTGAATCAATGCAGAGTCCTTTTTGTTGTAGAGGATTTTTACCCGTTGTACATCACCATAAACACCTGAATTCACATACATAAATTTCATATTATTTTATCAGTAAAAGGAAACATGAATTGAGTACTTGAATAAAGGAAATAGCGAAGTTTTTTTTTTTGTATATTTTGTCGGGTGAACTCGAAAAAATTTGAGCTTTTTTTTTGTACTTCATTGAATTATTTTCTCAAATATTTGAAATATGCTTAGTTTCCTGACTTGACTATGAAATATTTTCAATGAACTTCCTTGTAAAAATGTTTACTTTAGAAATCATTGACAATAATTCATACTAAATCAAGAAATGTATCAAAAATATGCTGAATTTTTTTCGAGCCCACCTATGTAGAAAATATTTTATTTATTAAAAAATTCCAATTTATGAGGTTGAATGAATTCATTTTGAATGAAAACAGAGATAGGGAGAAAATTATATTCTTTCGTTGTTGCTTCTCGCGAAAAAAAAAAATCATACAAATGAACTGTTTTATTAATAAAGCTACTAAAATTTTTGCAATACGGAACGAATTTGCTAAAAACAAATTTTCCAATATTTTCATTCTGCTACCTTTACATAAAAAATTTGTACAAATCACTTTTTAATCCTTTGAAAATCAGATGATTTTGCGATTTTTAGTAAAACCGCTACAGTACACATTGCGCATTTATATTTGTTCTCCCCCACTAATCATACACAAAATAAAAATGATAACGATACCATAAAAAATGTTTCAACTAAGCCTCAGCAACAGATGACAATGACAAGCGATCATTTTAATTCTCATTCTCGTTCACTTAATCCTCAAAATTTTCTCTTTTTTTTCCGAAATTTGAAGATGTACAATGAGAGATGAATTAGTACGCGTACAATTTTTAACACGACAGCGGTTTTGGAATTAAACAATAGACAATTACAATGATGTTGTTGAAGAATTGTTTGAAATGGGATTATTCGCATGTTGTGTTATTATCATGTTAAAATTAAGTTGAGGAAAAGTAAATTAGTGGCCTAATTTGGATCGTATTGTTCTTGAACATTTCAAATATATTTTTTAAAAATAATGCTGAGTTCTTAAAAATATCCTTTTTCGCTCCCCCCTTAGAAATAAATCTTGTGCTGTGAAATAACACCCAGGAATTTGATTGATTCTTCCTCTTCCGCTTCTTGCGGGTGTGATATATATCTTAATTCATTTTCCTTTTTCACTTTTCTGTTGTGCTGAGAGGGTGAAAAATATCAATATTTGGGGTTTGTAAACTAGGCAAGACTTTTGATATTCTTTATGAATATTTCAAGCCACTTGAATGTTTACAAGTTAAACTTTGAGTTTTTGGTTGAAACTTTGATCATTGTTTACCCAACAAGCAAGGTTTTGATCCTTAAAGATCTAATTTGGAGCAAAATGGAAGTTTCCAATCCTAAACAAGCATTAAAATGACTTTAAATCAGTAACCAAAACATTCCACTTATCCTAGTCTATAGAAAACACAAATTGCAAGTCACTTGTCCCAAGAATCACTTCCTGTATTCTATTAAAGTTCAAACTTTCCATTAAGGTGATCAAAAGAGTTATTTTAGGACTGCATAATAGCAATTCTTCTTTTCTTCTCCCTTTTCTATATTTATAACAAAGAAGTAAGCTCATTTGTTATAGAACTGCTAGCTTTTCCGTTAAGGAAAATCTAATATAAGAAAAAGTTCCTGCAATATGTAACAAGGTGAAACCTGTTGTGCGACAAATACAAATAAAAGAGAAGAAAAAATTGATTTATTACTCTAAGATGTAGTTTCCATCTGTATGTAAGAGCAAAACTTTCTTCATTCTTTTCCTTCTTATTTTTCTAGAATAATAAATCACACATATGAGCAACAATGTACATTTATTCAATATAAATGTTGTATGATGAATAGTGTCAATCGCTAGTAGATTGAAGCTATATTTTATCATCGCCATTAAACATCAATGGGATAGATAAGTGACTTTTGTTGAAATATATTCAATTCAATAGCCCTCCCATTCACATGATATCCATTAAACGTTGATACACGTACATAAACATGAACATTTTATATATATAATGTGATTGTGGAATTAGTACTGGATTTTATTGCTTGTTGTTCATATATAGTTTACACATTTTGGTATGTTTTTACAAATTTGAGGGATTTTTGGTTTAAAAATATTTTTTTCCCTATTTTAAAATTTTTCAATCAAAATTAATTCGAAAACTTTTAAAATTACTTTGAATGACTAAAAAACTACAACGAGCAACAAGTTCATAATTAAAAATCCCCCAACTGCAAAGCCACAACGACAAAAAAAAGTATATCTAGCCATAACACATAATATTTCATAATATGATATACATAAGGGGAGAAAACTGTCGGAAAAATATTCACTGAGAAAGTAACAATAAGTCTCGCTTTGTTCTTTTACGTATGTGTAAAGCAATGAATCTGCAATAAAAAGGAGACGGGTTTTGTTTGATTCAAATCCTGTGCTTACTTGCTTCTTTTGTGCATTTGCCAGCCAAAAGTAAATTCCTTTATTTGAAGTTTCCTTCTTTTTAGCGTCGTAATGGCTGTGAAGAGTGTGGTAATGCTGTGTAGCGCATTTTATAATGTTTTAATAAAACTTGCTTCAACACAGAATTTGAGAGCTGCCTTTGACCTCAATAATTTCTGTAACTTAAGTTTTATTCCTCAAAATTCTTAATCATTCAAAATTTCTGTCGATTCTTTTATTCAGTAAAGCACCCAAACTGTAACATTGCCTTCACAATCCTTATAATAAACAGAAAACACCATTTGAAAAGGAAGTAATGAAGCAGCGAAGAATAGGAGTAGAGAAAAAGCAGATTTTGAAAGATGTTAATGTGTATAAATGGAGCATAAAGGAAAAAGTACATTTTCATCATCAATCAATAAATTGAGCCTGATAGAGCTGAAAAGGCTCGTGAATAAAAAGGAAATTCATTCGTCGGCTGTGTTAATTTTCTCAAATTTCCACAAATACATTGTTGGATGTTGAAAACACTTTAATGTAAAATTGTTGCCGTCTGCATTTATGTACACACATATACACCTTCCAGTTACGTTAAATAGACTCAATTTCCCTAATGTAAACCAAATAATCTATGCTTTAATTATTTAACATCGTCGGCGTATTTTAATGGATATACATATAATAATGTGAAACAGAAAGGAAATTCTAATTAGACAACATAGCACATTTGCATGTTTCTGACTTTATACTCCTCTTTTTTTGCTGCTTTTTCTATTTTTTTTTCTTTCATTTTTTATCACATTTTAATGCATGAACAAAAAAAATTTCATTACTTCTCTGGAGAATTTTATTAATTAACCAAACTCACACAATTCTTTCTTCTTTCATTGACTTCTCATTTAGTAATTATAACTTTATAAATAAAGTTGTTGGGTATAATAAAAAGGTGGTAATGTAGTGAGTATGTTAGTGATAGTTTGTAGTTATTATTGTGAATTTAATTGAGGTTGTTTGACTTATGAATGTAGAAGTTATTGAGTCATTCTTATGTTTTGGGTATATATCTTCAAATTTTACTAGATAACTATGTCCCTGTATTTATAATAATAAAAATGTGTGAAGAGCTCAGCCTTTCAGTTGGAGGCATAGCGTTTCAATTTGTAAAGAATCTATTGTACCACACTATTTCCCTTTACTTCTCTAAAAATGTTGGGCGTTGACATATTAAACTTAGAACACAAGTAAGTGTGAGGAAATGTGGATAAGCAAATCGCTCAGTGCTTAGGACCCAAAGTTGCGAGACAAGTCGTCTGCCAACAGCCACAGGTGATAGATCTATCAAAGACACTGCCTGTCAATAAGCAAGTAACAGTTCGCAACTCAGCTAAGACCTACAGTTTATATAGTGGAATCCGAACCACTCCTTTGATGACATTTCTGCCTGTAGCCTACAAACGAAGACTATAACTTATAGCTTCTAAGGCTCAATTCCAGTACATATGGTTTTAAAAAGGACAATTGAAAAATATCACATGTCGAGTTTCGAACCCACGATCGCTATATCGGTTTTGCAATAATTATCTACCAAAGTCCTAATCCATTCCGCCATTGAGTCACTTAATAGCATAAGCAACAAATGATATAAAACATATCAATTGCTTAATTTTCTCAATGTATGTTTATTATGAGTTTCAAAGGATTAGATTTAAAATGCGTATGCAAGTGAATCCACTAAGAATTATAATAATCCTTGCTTAATTTATCACAACTTTGTTCGTCATGTGACAAATATTCTGTAAAAAGCTTTAGATTGCGTTCAATTTTAGTAGCTTTTGCAAAAACTTTGTTCATTTATATAATTAAGGAGTATATTAGATTGTAAATATTAATACATATGTGCAGACATACCAAAGAGGGTAAAAAGAGCATCAGGCGTGACCATCTACAGAAAAAGAAAAAAAGAAAAGAAAGATAAATAAATATGAGAGAAAGTTTTATCCATGTTTAAAGGACGATACATATCAATCATATTAATTGTGTAGAAAAAAGTGTTAAAGAAAATAACAATAAAGTTTTAATAAACAAAATTCTGATAAAGGATTTGAAAACTTTGAGTTTTTTTTAAAAAGTAAGTTTAGCTTTTGAGGTTTTGAGATTAAAAGAAAATATTTAATCAAGAATTTCTTATTGTTTAAGTTTTAAAAGTCATTTAATATTTCCAAAGTTAATTTTTTATCAATTAATCTCCCAAAAAATTTAAAAATTTCATCAACTAAATTCAATTCTTATTCTCAGAAGAAGTTCCCTCCTCAACATTGAATTTTTCAATAAATTATATTTAATATCATTTTTCAAAAAAAAACTGCCTACGAGAAATTTCCACGGTTTTCATTTTTTAGCTTCACTTTTCTGTACAAACAAAGTATCTCATTGTTTGTTTATTATAAATATTTTATATTTTTATGCTTTTCTTCCTTTTCACAACGACTCGGTGTGAATCAAGAAGAAAAAAAAATGTACAGGAAAAGGAATTTCTTTCATGAGCTCTTAATGGACTTGAAGTGAAAAGAATGAAAAATTATCAGTTATTTGAATCAATGAAACAGTGAAGTTTGCTGAGTTATTCCCCTCAATTTAATGTTTTTCTTCCTGTATCATTATTTCATAAGGATGAAAAAAAGAATGGAAGAAAATGGCAATGGGGAAACTGTTATTGTTACCGTGTATACTTTGATTAAAAAAAAGGAAGTGAATGTGTAAGTTGAGACAGAATATATAAGTATACAAAAGAACTGACAGAAGATGCGTTAACAGAAGACGTGCGGTCGCACAATAAATACGAAAAATTTTTGTAAGAAAAAATTTAAAAACGTTTCCTTCACTCTATTAGACGAGCACAAGAAAGTATATTGTTATTAGATTTTTTTATTACTATAATGAAAGATGAAATTAAATAGAAAAGCAAGCCTGGATAACACTAGATAAGACATATTATAAAAGAAAAATGAGTGAAGCTACTTAGAAATTGTGAGAATTTAATTAATCTGGGATGTTGAACTTTTTTAAAATGTTTCATAACTTAAAAAAAAATAATTTTTGGGGTTCGGTTATTTGGATGTATAATTTTGCTGCTAGAATGCTTTTTTTTATAATTTATCTTGAGGCTAATTTCAAAAGAGCCTGTTTCTAGCTTTTTGTACACTGACAAAAGCAGAAATATTTTTTGAAATGAGGTAAAAGAGTTAAAATAAGTGGCAGAAACAGTTGTTAAGAATTTATTTGAGTGATTTAAAATTATGGTTTAGACGTGAGCCTTATGAAGGAATATGGACTTAATCTTGAATGGGGAACTTATCAGGATGATCATAAATTTTCGAAAAATGACTTTAATTGATTAAAAATCATCGAAAAATCAAAAATTATCAAAAATGAACAAAAATTTTAAAAAATAACCAAAATTGATTAAAATCTAATTTATCAGTTTCGCACCCTTCATTAAAATTATTTAAAATCCATCAAAATTTAAAGTAATTAAAATTAGTGAAAAAATTACCAAAAATTGTCAAAAATTATTAAAATTGATTAAAAATCATCAAAATAATCAAAAAATATCAAAAAATTATTAAAATTGGTTGAAAAATCATCAAAAATTGACAAAACTATTAAAATTGATCAAAAATGATCAAATGTGATAAAATCAGTTCCGAACTCTCAAACTAAATCTTAATCTTCGCCTCTTTTCTTCAGTCAAATCAAACTCTCCATCTCAACTAGGAATAATCCCTATCAAGTAACATCCCTTAAACAGCAATTAATGACATAAATCAAAAAATTCTCCACACTTATTAAAGAATTCTCCCGCCCCAGATTTCCACACATGTTGAAGAGATCTTATTTCCACTCGATACTAATGAAATCATGAAATTAAGTATTATTAAGCAATAATTGAGTTTCATTGTTAATTAACCTGCCATGGATCAAATATAAATGTATGAAGTTTAGTCGAGAGAGAGAGAAGAAATAAGATAAAGCGAAATTAAGAGAATCATATTATTCAACTGATTTGTGAGGAGGGGAGGAAATAAAAAAAAATCTTAGGCATCCTCTTTTTGTGTATTTGGAATGTGCAGGATAAAAATTAAATTTATCAAATTACCTCTTCATTTAAATTGGACACAAGCAAGACGTTTGATAATCCACGTAAAGCACCAGGGTTATTTGAACCTAAAGCACCAGTTGATGCTAAAGCAAAAGCTCCCAAGCTTGGAATTCCACTGCCATAACTTGCAAGACCTGGGGCACCAAGACCAATTGTGAATGGGGGCATAACACCTGCCGATCCTAATCCATTAACTGTTGAAGAAATTTCTGAAATTTGTTCTAGTTACATGTTTAATTCCTGACTCCTCTATCATCTTACCTAGTCGTTCGCGCGTAAGTGCTGTCGGACGTTGTCCAGTTGCCAACAGAAGAAGATCACTGGCATTAACCAAACCGCCAGCGCTTGCAATCAAATCACTTCCTGGCTCACCAGCTGGCAATGTAGGATTCGTAAAATCACGTGATTTGTCATTATTGTATTTAACATTGAGTGCTGTTAACTTGCTGTTATCGATTCGCAATGTGCAACAGCCATTGTAAATATTTTGTCCATCTAATGTTTGTTTGGCATGTTGAGCAGTTTGAGCATCAGGATATTGTATAAGGGCTTGGAATGAATTATTTTTTGTAAATGTCACAATTTTCAGTACTTTTCCGAAGCGTTGAAATATTTGATGAAGTATTTCGAGTGATACGGGATATAATAACGACTCTACAATTACCCTGAGAACAGTATTGGCGCCACCACTCGTTCCATTTAATTGTGGTGTCGACACTAGTTGAGAAGTTGGATCAGCTCCTACTAGTGGCAAAGGAGATCCAGATGCTGGTGTCTAAATATATAAAAAATAATAAGACAAATCAAATTACAATCATTTCTTTCGGTTCCTTAAATTTCACTCAATGCTACTTACAGTAATTGAATGATTTTGGTCAGTTTTCAATTCACGATGATTAGAAAATTGTACATATACAGTACGTCCTCGAACCGTGGGCGGTGTTGTATTGAAAACTGAAACCATTGCTGTAGCTGAAATTTCATCTGCCATTTCTAAAAATGCTTGATTCTTTCCTTTTAATACCAAAACATTTGTAACACGTCCAAATTGTAATCCCAAATTTATTACTTCGGCATCACTAGCTTCATTTGGTATGTTTCTTATATGTATTACTCTTGACGGTTTACCTGAATATTACAATTTTTTATAATAATATTAATGTCATTGCTTATTTTGAGTTAGTTCAAGGTCAGAATTATGAAAATGATTTAATGCTTCCTAGTCATTACTTTGTTCTTTATTAAAGAATCATTTTGCGGTGAGCTTCAAGGTTCTTTAAGTATCGTTCAATAAACAGAATACTGATGGTAAATATGCCAAAAATCTGACTGATTCTAAATTGCGAGATAGATTAAATTATTTTTTCCTAAAAGCATGAAAATAATAGCAAAAAAAAATTTGTAAAGTTTCCGCTCATTAAACACGGTATGAATTTGATGGAATTCCTTTTAACAGATTTCAATTGAAAATGAACAAATTTAACATGATACAAAGTAAATTGTTTAAGATGCGTTCTTATTTTGCTTTTAGGAAACGAAACAATTAATCGATAAAGTTGGTTTTATGGAGGATTTGTCAAGTATGATGGATGTAGCTTCACAATTCTTGAATTGTTAACATCAGCTTAAATGGTTTTAACAGCTTCAAATATTTTTGAGTACAAGAATAGCACATTCGGTTAATTCAATAAAAAACCGGGACCAAGCTGGCCCTAGCGATAGAGTTAGTTTTAAGGAAGGTCATGGATCACAATTAATCTGTACGACCAGCGAAGCAAGTAAGTAAGTAAACCGGCCCTTGGGATTTAAATTGGATTTGAGCCCTTAGACTCAAATCGTATCCAGCATCATGCCAGAGGAGTGGCAGCTTTATGCTGGGTTTCTGTTTTATTAACCGACTTGAGCTATTCGGATTAGTTTTAAAAGAATTTAAATTAATTTTCACAAAATTGTTCAGCAAAGTTCCATGAAATTTAAAATGACAGCAAACAGACAATAATTCATTATTATAAAATAAAAGTGTAAGCATGTCTTTAAGAAAGTAAAATATTTATTGCATAGTATTCAAAAAATAACAATGTACATGTAAAATATTTTCCCTGTTTCAATTTTTCTCATCGTTGATGGGATTATTACGCACGAAAATTTACTGTCAAAAATCATTCAAAAACACATCTTAGCTCAGAATCTAGGCATTATCTTTATAAGATGATTTTTACTTTTTACCGAATGAAGGAAAGAAAAAAAAATCCGCTCGTGTAACAACTCCTTATGGCAACTGTTGCTTATTCGCTACAATATTACTTTAATGTACAGGCAAACAACATCACAAACAAAATTGTAATGGAATCTAAACATTTTATCACTCCCTTAAATTTTTATTCCCTCCGAGGCAAGGAAAAAAAAGAAGAAAATAATGACGATGAAAATTGGTAATTTTTTTACATTTTCGTGAATTGAGTAGGGTGTGCAACTTTGATGTGCGATGTCATAATAATGAAAATGACGTTCAGGAGCTTAAAATTCTTTATTTTTTCCAAAAGAGTTTAAGAATTTTTCTGTGACGGCATTTAAGTTACTGAACATAAAGTTGTAAGAAAAAAAGCTAGAAAATTATTTTTTCAGTCCACGCGACAAAATTTTTTGTAGCTGAATATCGGAAATGACCCAAAAAAATAAGGATTTCCGCCTATTTTCCTCCAGCAACATTGATATTAAAAATTCCTTACTTTACTATTAACATCCCTAAACGTAATATCCATATTATTTAATGATGAAAAAAATTATACGCATCGATATTGCATTCCTCTTTGTTTTTATATTAAAGTAAAAGGAATTATCCTCACCCACATACCTTAAATAAAAATTTATTTCTGTACCGAAAATGTTTGTCTTAAAAATTTGTATTAAAATTGAATTGTTCGTAATTTAAATGCTAGGGCAGTGATTTTATTGTGAGGAGCGATGATAAAATAAAATTGAGAAAAAAACAATCTTTTCGAGGTAAGGAATTTTCGAAGAAACAATATATTTTTTTTTCGAGTGCAAAAATATAAAGCCATAGATTGTAGAAGGAAAGTTAAGAGCATAAAATGCTTCACGAAAAATCATCTTTCTCAAGGAAAGCATGAGAAATAGGAAAATTGTAAAATACAAGGGATTTAACATTATTTGCTCTAATACTTTAGAGGATTTTACATCATATTCCATTCAATTCCGCATCTTTGTTTTATTTTTATAAAACTCTCTCGTACTTTGTTTTTCAACAAACAAAGTTTATGATTTTAACTATTTTTCTATCGAACTTTTTATTTCAAAAATCTTTTTTTAAAATCATTTCCATAATCCTAATTAGATAAAAAAAAGTTATAACGAGATCTGCATTTTTTTACTCACCCACACCTCCTATAACCGTGTTAGAATCTAATTTCGCCTTTTTTGTTGCTAGATCTTGATTGTTATTATCTGCTGCTGGAGCCATGACTGCTGTTTGACTTAATAATTCGTCGCTACCTCTCTGCGAATAGAACATGAAAGTAAAGAAGAGGATAAAGGAAAATTGAAGAAGAATGTTTGAAAATAGAAAAAAAAATAAAAAATAAAATAAGTTGAGGAAATTTTTCAAAGTTTTAACAAGCTTTTTTTTTGAAATTCTTTTAATAATTTTGAAGAATTTCCTCATTTAAAGATTATATTAAGGATAGAAATTATTATGATATTTGACACTGATTTTGCCGTCAACAGAAATCAAAATATGAGAAATGTAAGTTTATTCACGTGTATTATGAAATATCCCCTGATTAATTCAATGCTTTGCGACTGTAACTTAATTAAACCTTTTGTTTACAAACAGTTTTTTAAGTGGATTCACACTTTTTTGAATGTTTTGATTTTGAAGGTTTTCTAATCGAGAATGAAAATATTTTGATATTTATTTTGGAGTAGAGAAATGCGAAAGATCTAATTTTATAAGGATTAAGAGTGTTTTTACTAACGAACATATCTTTTAAATGCATTCGGAAATGTTTAAAGATTGCTTAAACTTTAATGCATTTTGATAATATTTCTTTTGATTGTTTTTAACAATTATTGAAGTTTATTGACGCCTTTTTGGAAGCTTAATATATCTTAATTCTATTGATAAATTCAGCAAAAAAGTTTAAAATCAAAAAATCCACTTTTCTTTTAATACTAAATTAACTTTATTTTTAATAATTATTTCAGCAGTTAATCTGCTATCTTCAAGACTTTTTTGATACTTAACAAATACTAGCTTTAAATTCTAAATCTTTCCATTCCACAAAGAAATCTTTTTCAAACATAAATTTCATAAAACCCCTGCCTTTTATGACTAGCTTTAAGCTGTTCCTTTCTTCTCTACTGGATGCTAATCCCCGGATACCACTTTAGAAAGACATATATGAATTAACTGGAATTAGGGAGCTTAAAGAAAACTTGAGGATTGAAGAATATTTGTAAGACTAAACGAAGGCAAAATTGTTGAATATTTTTTGATATTTTTTAAACATTTCAGAAAGTCTTTAAAGCTTGAAATTTATTGAATTAAAATTCCTCTCTTTAAAACAGGGTTGCGATACAGGCAACTATGCACAGGTGAAAACCGTACAATTCCTTGATAATTTATAAGGTTTTTCTGACAAAACCTTATAAATTCTAATAAAACCTTACAAATTATCAAGGAATTGTACGGTTCTCACCTATGCACAGGTACCTGTATCGCAACCCTGCTTCAAAATTCATAATCTCAATATAACAATTTCACAGCTAGTTTAATAAATAAAAATGCAGATTCTATATTCATCCTTGATGCCTGTATAATAATAATACTGTCAACGATTCTCATGAAAAATAATATCAGCCTCTGTTTTAACGAAGCAATGAAAGAGTAACGTTATTGCTATTAATAAAGCAAATGGTAAATTAAATTACATAAGTAAACGTAAACGATATGAACGCATCATAGGATAAAGGAATTCTCTTTATGTACCAAGATAACTTTCATAACTGTATATAATTTCATTTTCACTCTCAATGTATTTATCAAATAATAAGGACGAAAGGAAAATAAAGTTGAGGAAATGAATAAATTTTCCGGAGGTTGGTTTTAGTTGCGAGATTATTGTTTTCGGTTTCTTCAGAGTCAGAAGTTCTAACACAGAATGAATGTATCGTACATATTTAGAAGATGACATTTTGGGGTATCATAATAGCCTAAAGTAACTGTAAGGTTATATAATCTTTGCATCTGTCTACCGTTCGCATTGTCTCTATGTATACATACTACATCTTTTAAGTCTAAGGCTATAAAAAGTACTTTGCAGAAGAATGAAAGAGAAAAAAAAAAGATATTTGATTGAATCAAATCTCTCCTAAACATAAGATTTTAGATAATAATCTCTTTCATCAAGGATAATGTTCTTGAGACCTTATATATAATCTTTACTGTCTCTATACATAAAGTAAATGTAAATTGCTGAGCTTCATCGACACACTTCAATCCTTATCCCCCCATTTTACGTAATACTTTATGTTTTCAAGTTCATATGAATGTGTGCGTAAGCATTATAGAGAAATATATATCACCATTTAATATAACATAGGCATTATACATCTATGTGCATGTTAATACTACATATTTTTATAACAATTGAAAATGCTTTCTGGTTGGGATTTATCTTTTTTTTTCTTCTCTGTGTGTTAAGAAGATTTCGCTCGGAAAAAAGTCTTCAAAAAGAAGTTTTTAGGTTTCCATTCTTCTGTATTTGAACAATGGTGTCATAATGTCTGTATAATATAAAAATATTTTTTATTCTTCCTTGATAGGAAGTTTTTTTCTCTGCAATCTTATGTTCTGTAAATTCTATTGAATGTAAAAGTCCTTGGAGACTTTTCTTAAAGTTTTATGAAATTTACGATTCTTAAGGGAGGAAAGTTTCTTATCCTTGAAATCTTAAATTTGCTGCAATTTGTAGGATGCTCAAAATTCATGAGTTATGTTGTTCTACCCTTTACATATGAAAAAATATCAAAAATTCATCATAAATTTTCAAAAGAAAATTCTCAACCCTAGTCTTTACAAAATCGATTCAATTTAAATTTTTAAACATTTTTTGACATTATTTATTTAAATATTTGCAAAACATGATATCAATATTTTTTTTTTCTCCTACCATGTGAAACGGAAGAAATTTTACAATTTTTGATGTGTTGACTTACGAAATCTCCTCATGAATATTTTATATCTGTACTTTTCTGAAGTGTATTTAATCCTTTTTATTTGAATTTTCATATAAAATTTAAATACATTCTACAGAAATATAAAAATGAGAAACGAAAAATAGTTTTAGACTTTTACGGAGGACTGGAGAAAGATGAAATTCTGGTTTGAATAATAAATTAACAAAATAGAGGAATTTGAATAGATTTTTATATTTTAATATGATTTTGTTGGTTGATCTTATTTTTTTAAAAATATTTTAATGATTTTAAAAAGCTGACCAAATAGCACAAGTCGGTTAATCGAATAAAAATCTGGTGTCAAGCTAGCATGACTCTGGCATAATGCTGGCTTCGGTTTAGATCCAGCACCAGAGTCACACTAATTTAGTGCTGGATTTCTGATCGATTAACCGACTTGTGACATTTGCGTTGATATTTTATTGAATTTAAATATTTTAATAAAAATCTATCTTTCAATTTTAATAAGCTCAATTAAATCGCCTTTTTGTCGCCAAATTTCATTTTATAATGGCGCCAAAAAGACAATTAATTGTCAATGTGCTAGAAAATTTCAATTAAAATCTTTCCACATCCACAGATTAATCCAAATTCAACAGGAAGCAACAAGTAAACGAACAATTTTGTTCACAGCATGTACAATCATGCACGAAGTGAACTAATTCAATTTCTAGTTTAAACTTAATTTAAAAAATTTTTTTTGACGACAATCAGATAAATAGTTTGTTTTTTAAATGAAAAGTATGATAGGAGAAAAGATAAAGTAGACGAGATTGTAGAGTAAAGAAAAAGTAATAACAAACACACTAAGAAAGAGGGGAGATTTGATAGAAACATTGAATAACGAAAGAGAGGAAATTATTGAGTAGATGTTAAAGGCAAAGGAACTTTTTCTTTATTATTTTTTTATATGTTGTCTTTTCTCTCACTTGATTTTCTATGAGCTTCGTCTAAAAAGAAGAAAAAAAAATATTTTATGCAAATTAAAAATACAATCATTACTTTAATATCTGATTAAAAGATAAGATAATCAACTAAATTGAACTCTATAAGGATTTTGTACAACAAAGATAGAGAGTAGTTATAAATTCAAATAATAATAATAATGACAGATGTAGACGAAATAAGAGAAGGAAGTAGATAAAGAATAAGGATGATAAAAAGCTCATTTGTCATATTTCTTGTGATATTTACATACATATATACAAGTGAGTTATGCTAAATAAAATTTTTTAAAAATGTTTTCATATTCCTTGTCAATATTAATGTTTGAGAATTGAGATTGTTTACGGAGCATATTGAAAATTTATGAAAGACGCTTTTCATCATTGAAGCTACAAATTTGTAAATAATCTGAATGACACTAAGGTTGAATGATTGTCAAAGAAGCAAAAGGAATGTTAAGTCTGTGTTTTGATTTATTTCTTGGTGTTAATAAGAATCTTTGCAGAAAAAAGATTTGAGACCGAAAAAAAGAATCTTAAAGAATCTTGTTTCTGATATGTTTAAATCATCCTTAAAGTTCACAGCATTTAAAAGCATCACATTTTAATTTTTGTACATAAACAGTGTTAATCTGAGTGGAAATTTAGGAATTTAAAATCAACTCAAATGTTTAAAGCTCAAGCACATGATCTTTGTTGTTTTGCAGAATTCTAAGCTAGATTAAGTCATGTGAGTGGGTTAAAGAAGAGAACCTACAACCAGTATTGCCATTTGGTATTGTTAATTGGCAATTGATAGTCAGTGCCATCTAAGGAAGGCTGTGGATCACAATTGATTTGGAATATCAGCAAAAGAAGTAAATAAATGTCAACCAGGATAGTCTATCAACCCCTAATCTTTTTGTTGGAATTTTTTAATTTTCCAGTTTTTCCAGAATTATAAATCTTATGATTATGCTTGTTATGACTAGAAACAATTTAACAACCTCAAATAAAACCAAACTATCAGCACTGTTAGCTCCACCAATCGATTCTATCGAAAAAAACTTAAGACTCTTTAATCGCTTTCGACTCTCTTGGAATATGCAACTAGATACATTCCATGAATGAAAACTAACACCGTTTTTCCATTAAGAATATATATTGAACTAATAAATGCATACACATAGTCAAGTGAAGAAGGAGAAAAAAAATTCTCTCAGCCACAATATTCTCGAATTATCTTTATCATCATCATCATCATCATCGTTATCATATCGGAATTTGCGAAGCGACAGTGAAATTGTATCACGAAATGTACACACAAAAACGATGAGAAGTGAGAGGGAGAGACAAAAGTGAGGGG